CTAAAAATACAAAAATTAGCCAAGTGTGGTGACTCATGCCTGTAATCCTAGCTACTCAGGAGGCTGAGGCAGGAGAATCACTCAAACCTGGGAGGCAGAGGTTGCAGTGAGCCGAGATCGTGCTGCTGCACTCCAGCCTGGGCGACAGAGCAAGACTCTGTCTCAAAAAATAATAAAATAATAAAACAAAATAAATAAAATAATATGTGGTCAATTGGCCAAGCATGGTGACTCACACCTGTAATCCCAGCACTTTGGGAGGCCGAGGTAGGTGTGTCTCTTGAGCCCAGGAGTTCGAGACCAGCCTAGGCAATGTGGTGAGACTCCATCTCTATAAAAAAAAAAATTAAAAATAGCAGGCATGGTGGTGCATGCCTGTAGTCCCAGTTACTCTGGAGACTGAGATGGGAGTGTTGCTTGAGTCCAGGAGTTTGAGGCTACAGTGAGCCGTGATGACAGCTACTATACTCCAGCCTGGGCCAGACCCTGTCTTAACATAACATGACATGACATGACATGACATGACATGACATGAAATGGTGAATTTTATGTTACGTGAACTTCACCTAGTTTAGCTTGGTTTAGCTGTTTAGTTTGAAACAGGATCTCACTGTGTCGCCCAGGCTGGAGTGCAGCAGTGCAATCACGGCTCACTGTAGCCTCAAACTCCTGGGCTCAAGTGATCCTCCCACCTCAGCCTCCCAAGTAGCTGGGACCACAAATGTGTACCATCACACCTAGCTAATTTTCTTATATTTTTTGTAGAGATGGGGCCTCTCTGTGTTGCCCAGGCTGATCTCCAACTCCTGGCCTCCAGCAATCCTCCCGCCCTGGCCCCACAAGGTGCTGGGATAACAGGCATGAGCCACTGAGTCCAGCCTCAACTCAATTTTAAAAATGAGTGCATTGTGTCAGAATTCTAACTGGACTTGATTCCCTGGGGAGTGAAGGATCTGGTACTGCGAAGACCCCTGGCCAGTGAGTCCTCCTTATTCTTGGGGTCCCACCCAGTGCCCCTGCCACTGCTGCCTGGACCTACCTGTGGGCAATAGCCAGGAGGGTGAAGCCATCCACGGGCCGCCGGGCCAAGTAGTATCCCAGATCCCGACGAAGCCGCACCCACAGCAGGGGCGGGAAGCGCAGCAGCTCCTTGCTGGGTGGGGTCCAGTCCCGGTACACAGCCTGCAGGACCTCGTCATCCAAGGACAAAACATCCTTCAGCTCCGCCTCCGAGAGACCGTGCCTGAAGGGAGGAGGAGTGGGGCTTTGAGGCACATCTCATGTCTTCTGCGTTTGGAGGATGCCGAAGCCAAGAGAGGGAGGGATACAGCCACCCGCTCGGTGTCCAGCACATCACCTGGGATCAGCATTTGGACAGCGCCCACGAGGGCCCAAGCCCGTTAGGGCAGTATCCACCAAGGAAGACCTTTTCCGATTTTTTTTTTTTTTTTTCTTTTTTTGAGACAGAGTCTTGCTCTGTCGCCCAGGCTGGAATGCAGTGGTACGATCTTGGCTCACTGCAACCTCCGCCTCCCGGGTTCATGCGATTCTCCTGCCTCAGTCTCCTGAGTAGCTGGGACTACAGGTGCGTGCCACCACACTCAGCTAATTTTTGTATTTTTAGTAGAGACAGGGTTTTACCATGTTGGCCAGGCTGGTCTCCAGCTCCTGCCCTCGTGATCCACCCGCCTCGGTCTCCCAAAGTGCCAATCTTTTCCTCTGCATACACACCTACAGAACCATAAACCGATCACTCCTCAACCTCAAGCGGTCTGAGACAGACAGTATAGGGAGGGAAGGATGAGGTAACTCAAGGAAAATAATGCAGAAACTAACTGCACCCACCCCACTCCACCCTGGCCCACCAAGGCATGTCTTTAATTAGGATAAGTGGGCTGGGCGCGGTGGATCACGCCTGTAATCCCTGACCTTTGGGAGGCTGAGGCAGGAGGACTGCTTGAGGCCACAGCTCAAGACCAGCCTAGGCAACACAAGGAGACCCCATCTCTACAAAAAAAATTTAAAA